ATGGCCTGTGCTTTGGGAGCCGAGTCAGGGAGGGAGGCTGCAGCTCCGTACTCGTAACGTCAGCTTATTTTTAATCCTTCTGTTCAGTAGGATGTTCGTGCCTTTGTGTGTGGTCGCCTAGTCCAGAGACTGAAGTTCTGTTCTGTTGGGGTAGAGGAGAAAAGTCTCTTGTGGTATCGGGGAGGAGTGACCTGGGTACCTGCTTCTCACACAGATATTCTCCCATCCTCCTCCTCCTCCTTCTTTTCTTTTTTTATAGTCACACCTTCATTCTCCCTTCCAGAGGCCCCTGGCTCCCAAGCCTTTGGGTATGTTTAGTGTAAATGAACTGCGCCTGTGCTTTCCCGGCTGCCAGCTTGGTACTTGGCTCCAGTCAGCCTTCCGGCGTCTCCATTTTGTGGCTCTTGTCTCCTCTCTGTCCCGCATCTTCGTAAAACTCCCTTTACTCTTAACATAATTTTTGAAGAAGTTAGCGCAAATGTGTGTGTTGATTCGGCCATCTTTAACCGGAAGTTTCTTCTACCCTGTTCTCCTTGGTCACGGGTAAGTTGGGTCACTCGTCGAGGGTGTTCTGAGTATGTTCCGTGTGTCGGTGGAGCAAACAGCTCATTTTAACTTTCTGTTGAGTGACGGTAAGACCGCTTAGTCCTTCCCGTGTGTTTGTATGTAAAGGTCCGAGTCTTTACCAGAAAACTAGCATTTTGACCTTAGTGAAGTGTTTCTGCTTCAACCGCCGCAGGTTCTTCAGTTTTCCAGTTCGGCAGCAGCAGCACCACCAATTTCAACTTCGCGAACAACAACCCGTCGGGAGTGTTCACGTTCGGGGCGAATCCCGGCACCCCCGCCGCCTCGGCCCAGCCCTCCGGCTCCGCGGCCTTCGCGTTCAGCCAGTCTTCGGCCGCGTTCACAGTGGGGTAAGGCCCCCGGCGGGAGGGGCTGCGGCCCGGCGGGAGGGGCTGCGGCCCGGCGGGAGGGGCTGCGGCCCGGCGGGAGGGGCTGCGGCCCGGCGGGAGGGGCTGCGGCGGGGCGGGCGCGCGCCTGCGCGGAGCGGGGCGGGCTCTGCGTTCAGGTGAGACGCGGGTGTTGGCCGCCGTGCTTGCGCGGGGACAGACGGGGACCGAGAGCGCGTTTCCTTTCAACCACCTCTCCCCCCGCCCCCGGTCGCAGGTCGCCTTGTGCGGATGCTGAAATGCCCCCGAGCACCGGGTGACATAACGCAGTTCTCTCTTTTTCACAGGTCAAACGGGAAAAATATGTTCTCTTCTTCCGGAACTTCGGTTCCTGGTCGCAAGATAAAGACTGCTGTCAGGCGCAGGAAATAAAGGTCGCGGTGTGTCCCACACCACGTTGGCAACTGCTGGTGCCCTGCTTCTCAGATCCCGGCCGTACTGTGCGTGGTGGGGCTGGCTGTGGTCAGACCTGCCCGACGACTTCCTGAGTTCGCCCCCCCCCCCAGCCCCCGCCTCCCCTCCTCCCCCGTTCCAGAAACAATAATCGTTAGATCGGCGGCTGATTCTGCAGCAGAAATAGGATCCAGCACATGACCCCTGATTGGGCGCAGGCCGCCGCGCCCGGGACGGAGCCCGCTCAGCGGGTGGCTTTGTAGGGAGCCTCCGGGTGCGCCGCGCAGCGTGCGCGGGTGCGCGCGGGGGGACGCGTCGACGTTGTAATTATATGGGAGGAATTCTGTATAGATTAGAGAATGTGGAAGTGAATGATTTCTATGCTGAGTTTGTGCTGGTGTATGTGTGAAGTGAGTGAGTCGGGTGTATTGTGCACTAAAATTTTCTGATAGAGGAAGCCTGATTAAAGAATGGTCCGTGCTAAGGACTTATTAGATCTAGTGCGTTCTCCATTTAATAATTATATGCTATTTCTATATTTTCATTCTCCTATCACCTGTCTTGCCTTTTTCATTATTTTATTATGAAACTGGTGTAAATACAATTTTGTTTCTGTACTTTTTTGGCATAACATAAATCTGTGAACTTGAAATTTTAATTTTGTGTTAGAAAATTTGTTTGTTCCTTGTTTAGTCTTGTCTCAGATTTTATTATGTAAATCCCATTATTCAAAGTTGCCTAAATCCATTTAGAAATCTTTAAAAAAAAATTGGGGATTCTTAAAGTGAATTTATTGGCTTTTCTGATCCAGTTTTGTTTGGACCAAAAACCAGTATTGTACAAAGTATTAAGCATATATTTTTATATTTACTGAAATGGACTGTGGTGACTTTGGATAATAAGGAAAAGTTTAATATTAAAGCCATGTTTATTACAGTATAATTAACATGTTAAACCATGGGATAAATGCCATCAATAAAAAATTATGAAATATTTTTTGTTCTAGTGTTAACTTATAATGAAGGTACCAGTGTTAATGGAAGGGAACCTTTTTTTGTAAAGGTTCGCCATGTTTCAGAGAAATTCCAAAGAATACATTTAAGTGATTTGGACAGCTCCTACGTGAAGGGGAAGTGTCTGGAGGTAAAACATAGAGGAGGTACCCTGCTTTTTGTCTGGTGCTAGGAATCACGCCTACTTTGCATATAAAATGACCTACCTTTTTAAAAGTTGAAAATAAACACACGTAACCATTTGTTCGTATCTGTATCTTCCTTGAGAGGCGACTAGACAGTGTTTACTGATCAGGTCTTGGAGACACATGCTGAAAGCAGCCTATAGAAATTGCATGGTCCTTTTGTATGGAACTCTTACGGATTCTTTTACTAATATTCCCCCCCCCCCCAACTGGATCTCGTCTGTGGTTCATAAAAGACCTGTTGGGACAGCATTTGCTTGATTTTAGACTTAATTTGAGCACACGGTGATTTTGTGCGGACTTTTATTTTGCTTAACTTCTGTTGAAATCCAAATTCAGAACTTTAAAATGTTTACGAGCTATTTTGTGTTTCTAATTTTGCAAAGATATTTTTTGTTTTGAAAACATCTTAGGCCATTATTTGGTGCTGGTTTGGGGAGAGACATTTTATAATTCTCACTTTATTAATAATACACATTTGACACAGGCCTGTTTGGGGGCAAATGGTGAATACCGGAAACCTGGTTTTAATGCGGAGATGTTAATGCCTAACTAAGTGGCAGGTTTGTTCATTATCTGCCATCCTCTGGGCCCATATGAATGGGAGTATTGGGCTTTCTGCTCTGGGAAAAATTTTCATAAGAAATGTGCTAGAAATAGTTCTTTAGTATTCTTTAAAACAAGTTGACTGAAAATAAAGGTGGCTTAAAAATGAAATCTTCTGGCACCAATGCTGTAGTCTACAGAGCTGTAATCAGGGCTTGGGACTTGGATTTTCTGTCTCCATTGTCGTTATTCCCAGGCTGCGCATGTGGCTCCAGACGACATTCATGAATGCAGCTCCAGCGGCAACCCTGCCCCTCCCGACTCGGTCCAGCGGAGGCATCTCCTTCCTGGACTGGCTCCGGTGGCAGACGTACTTCGCAGCCACTCTGTGACTCTAACAGCGGTCTCGGACGGGCCTCGGTCCTACGTTCCCTACACAAGTGAAAATTGAGGGCAGTTCGTAGAAGAAGGGGAAGTACCCCGGAAAGAAGCCACTTCTCATGCTGGAAGACTTCGAATGCGTGAGGCCCAGGCCTGAGGATGGCACTTCAGGTACCAGGTTGTTTCGAGTAATTTATGATTTGGGGCATTAAGAAAAAGTATAATCGAGACCACTGAAAAATGTCTTCAAGCTAGCTGCTTATTAATAGTTGTTAACAAATTCTCTCCCGAAATTGTTCGTGTATTTGGGATTTTATTTGAAATTAAAGTGGTAGACTAATTTTAAGTTTGTAACCAGGCTATAAGTTAGTCCACTACTTTAATTTCAAATAATAAAATCCTAATTTTAAAATTTTCATTATTCAAGTACTGATGACATACCATGTTACAATAGTTTCGGGCGTACAGTGGGATTCGACAGTTCTGTACGTTACTTAGTGCTCACCACCGTAAGTGTGGTTACCATACGTGATTATAGAATTATTGACTCCTTCCTGTGCTGTCCTTTTCATCTCCATGACTTCATTTGTTTCCTGGGTCTATTTAAAGTTTGAAACTCAATGAAAATGTTACAAAGGTTAGCCTGTGTGTTGAATGGGAACTGACATTTGGTGTAGTAGAACTGGGAAAATGTGTATTGGGTCTAGTGACACATGCCAACTGAACTGACTAGTGCTGTGGGGCAACTCTTACAAGCTTACCTCGAGGTCCACTGTAGTTCATAGTTCCAGAAATGTAGCTTGTGCCTCAGCTCCGAACAGCACATTGTCTGTAGAACTCAGACCCGGCCGTTGTTTAGCTACATTGAGTTTATCTGTGTTCTTCTTCTTCTTCTTTTTTTTTTTTTAAGATTTTATTTATTTATTTGACAGGCAGAGATCACAAGTAGGCAGAGGCAGAGAGAGAGAAGCAGGCTCCCCGCTGAGAAAGGAGCCTGATGCGGGACTCGATCCCAGGGCCCCGGGATCATGACCTGAGCCGAAGGCAGCCGCTTAATGGACTGAGCCACCCAGGCATCCCTTATCTGTGTTCTTCTTGAGGAACCTGTTTTGAATCCTGTCCTCCTCCTCTAGATGTGTTAGAACAGGAAGTGCTTGTAAGATCAGAATGAGGTTTAAACTGCCCAGCTCTGTCATTTACCAGCTATGAGACTTTGAACTTCCGGTTCCCCATGTGTAACATGGGTCCTTAGTATCTTGCATAGTAGTTGGGAGGATTAACCATTTTAAGGACAGAATTAGTTGAACATTAAGCATAGTCATCTGTGGGTAACTTCTGAGTGACTTGCCTAAAGAATATACCCCAAAAGGTAGACTTTTGGGGGGGGGGTAGACCTCTTATTTCTGAAAGCACTCTAGCTGACTGCCGTTCTCCTAAAGGCCGGGAATGCGGGAAATTTGTATTTGTAAGCAAGGGTTCCCTTAAGCAGGAGATTCTAGAGCAAACTTCAAGTAACAGTCAAAAAACAAAAGCACTGGTGATCAAGTATTTATTGAGATAAAGAATACAAAGGTGGCATACAAATTATTAAAAATAGAATGCTGAATTTTATTTATAGGCAGGCCATCAGATACTGTTCGTGGGTCAAGCCCTACTCTAATGAACTGCGAAGATATACACATAATAACATAGTTTGGAATGAGGATCTTCACCCAGGCAAGCACATAGTGTAAAGATTCTGGCCTTTGGTACAGGGGACAGGGAATGGCAAGTACCCGAAATGGTACCTGTCAGATTTTAGGAATACTGGTATGATTTGGGCATATTCTTCAAAAGAAACAACAGCCTGTTTTAATAGGGCTAAGTGTGGACTGAAAATATTTAACATCCCTGTCTCTCTCACAAAGCCCAATACTTGCAAGTAGTTTCAACTCCTTTCTCCTTTCCTGTTGCTGGAAATACTGATGCATGAGTAAAACCCCCACACAAGTCACTTAAGGGAACAGGTCCTTTTAAAGCAGAGTTAAAACAACTTTTACTTGTCATTTAAAGCAATAATCACTAAAGACTTAGTGTTATTTAAATAAAAGGGCCCTCAAATATAATGTATTTTTTTCCCCAATCCTAAATAGCGGGGGAAAACTGGAAAGTAAGTGTTTAAGTGGAAACAAGTGACTTCTGCACCAGCGCGACACAAGCAGCAGCTGGGCAATACTTTATAACGCGTTACTGTCCAAAAAGTTGTTGGCTTGATTTTTATAGTCGTAGCTTGGTCTAAAAATCAAGGCTTACTATCCTCCCGTTTACTTCCCTAAACCCAGCATGGACTTAGTGCGTCAGACTTTTCTCAAGGTGCGCCAGCAGCCCGTAGTCCTGGGTACGGAGATTTTTCTAGATGCCCACGCTACCTGCCTGTTCTGCGGTTTTATTCAGGCCTTATTCACTGCAAGTGGTCTTACTTGGCTTGACTTCTAATTTGGTTCCCTTATGACTTATCTCGTAAAAGTGGTGAGTAATGTTTGTACTATGAAAACAACTTTCTTTTTGCCTTTTTAGGCTAGAGTTTCAGCATGAGAATTATACTTGGATACAGAAAATCAGCATTTCTAGAAATGAAAAAAATAGAAAAGTGTTTTTGAAAAGACGGAGGCTCAACCCCTCACAACCCTAAGAGAAAAAAGTGACTCTCCCTTCTTCCCCACTGTTTTGTCATCCCCCCCCCAATGATTTGGAAATCAAAATCTCTTTTCCTGTGTGCTGAATTCAAAATACAAACACACTTGCATTTTGTTAGAAAGGCAGAGTAGCAACAGAACTTGTATTTATCAGGCTATATAACTTGGATCCCAAGATGGATCTAAATGAAACTACATCCAGCTAGGATTCTCAATAACTCATATATAGCAAATGTGCAATATTGTAAGAATTAAACTGGGCTACTTGCTTTTGTTTGGCAATAGAAATAAAAAAATAGCCTAGATGGTGAACCTTCTAATTATCTGAGAGGAAATTCTACATTAAAGATCTATTCCAGAGCTACATGGCTGAAGGACACTTCAAGTTGGATTCTCCATCAGTGGCCAAGAGAGCGGTATCCACTGATGCTAACGTATACACTACTGAGTGGTAAGTTTACGTAACATTTCCTACTGTGTCTTTCTACTGTGAAGGGCCAAACACTTTAAACATCTTCCCAGGGGCTACAAGTGAGTGATCTGTTGAGTACTTTGGCACACCTAATAGGCTTTCTGTGATGTTGATTTAATAAAAAATTTTGAAAAACATGGTTTATGAAATTTTACAGTAAAAAGATTAATAAGGGTGCTGTTCAGGTTTCTATAGACATCAAATGTGAATATTTTCAGTTTTAAAGTCAAAGAAAAAACCTACATGCCTTGCGTTTGCTATTTGAGGCCAAAAATAAAGTCCAGATTGATCTTTTAAGCAATCTAATTATGAAGTATCCAAGACAGGCTAGTGTTTTTTGGGAAAACAATGTCAGGGTTGGAAAAAATGCCTAAGAAATAAAACTTCTCAGATATATCTCAACACTGTTAACTGGGCCATTTAACAAAAGCATGCACACAACATTTAAAACACTAAGCTTTGCTTCAGTAGAAGAATAAATTAAAATGGTAATACACAAAGTGTTACTTAACAATTCCCTCAAAACATCATCCCTGGCAGGCCCCCAAAACTTAGAAAAATGTATGGAAATGGTAATTGTCTTAGTTGTAGAAATAACAGTTCATAATGGGAAAACTGCTAATATTTCACAGGCTACTAGTATTTTATCATGAAATACTAAGATTAATATTTGACTCCTTGATGTTTCAAGTGTCACGGAACTATGTAAAATATAATAAAAAGAAACTAGCGAGTATGTGACTACCTGGTGTAGAAATAGAAGGTGCATTCAGGACACTGAACAGCACTAACACGTGCTTCATGCTGCACACATACTGGGAATATTGTTTTACAGTAAATATGCAACAATTTGATGAAGTCCTTTCCCCCCACATACTTATCATTTGATTTCGGGCACTAAAAACACTTGCACATGAATTTCAACTTAAATTTACGGTGAAAATTTAGGTGACCCTCCCTCCCCCTTTAAAAGCAATCACTAACTTACCTTTTCTTTAAAGATAATCAATGATAATAGAGCAGTAGGGCTGAATACTTTTCATCATCATGCAAAACTTGCCCCAAACACATGTTGAACAGGAGCAGTACTTGTAAAGTGACATCATTCCCACAATACACTGCAGTACAGATCTGAAAACTTCAGGTGAGGGAACTGCTAGGCCTGCCTCGTCTGCCCCTTTGTCTTGCAGCGAACTCACTTTCTCCTAGGACGGGGGCCAAGTGCATTACCAAGTTTGTGTCTCCACTCCATCTCCCCAAAAGCAAAAACAATTACCCCAAGAAGTGTTAACTAAAGATGAGTTAATGTGTTTACAAAACACAACTGGACTTTTTCCATCATTTTGGGATAAACCAAAACAAATTTTTGAAAGTTTCATCTGGAGATTTCACAGCTGAAAATGCTTTCAGCAAATTCTAAAGCCTTAGATCTTAAGAAAGTATATATTGTCCATTGTTGATTATAAAACCACTCGCTGCCTTTTCGATCTGAAAATTTTTAACACTTGAATTTAACAGGTTTTTCTTCTGGAAAAGTTCTTTGGCATCCAAGTAAAATCAGTACGTTCAGAATAGTCACCTGCATCACACTGGAGCGACTGCTTTAATTTCTAAATCATCAGTTAGTGTAACTCAGGGATACCGATGGCCTTGACACACAATTTAGTCTTGTTACTCCAGAGAGTGTGGAATTCAGGGCTTTGGGGGCATCATCTGACCCCATTTCTCTTTACCACAATGGTCCCTGCCACGATGTCATAGGCTGTCCGGTTATGCTGGAAAAACAGCAGTGTGACGAAAGCAGGGAAAAAGGAAGCGATCGAAAAATTCTTGATCAAAGCTCGTATAGCAGACCTAGAAAATTAAGGCAAAAAATAACCAGATACATTATATACCAGCCACTTAGAGGTTAATACTATCCTACACCAAATTTAAAATATATATATTTCAAACATACATGCAAAGGATTGAGCGTTTTTACCTTCGATATCTGAGTTACTTTCAAACAGCGTTATATTCTGATCAAACCGCCTGGTTCCAAAGACAACATCAACAGAAGAGTAAGACTTCAGCACTTCCACATGAAAAGCACTGATGAGTTTCTCAGAATGTGGACTAAAGGTTTAGAGTATTTTCTCGGATATTTGGCTAGAAGAGTAACTGTTCCCTTTACTTACCTTCTGAATATTCACTCGTGTGGGTTTAGTACTTCCTACACTAATATGCTTCCTGCAATCCCCTCTTCTACCTTCTGTGAGGCTCCGACAGCTTAAATTACTGTGTATTCTTTCTTTGGGGGACGCTGTGACTAGAGAAAGCTTTACAAAGCTTCCAAGTGTGGCTCGGAATGGAGAATTCTCCTATCAGTGTTAGATTTCTGCCTGTCCGTGCACGGAAAGGCTGTAGGGAAAGCACGTGGCTGAGTGTGGCTCTGAATGCAGACTGGCTGGTGCCAGATCCGTTTTCAACCACTCACTCGCACTCCACATCTGTAAAAAGGGGTAACGGTACGGATGGTACCTGGCTTATTAATAGGTATTGTTTTAAACAAGGCCTGTTACGTAAGAGGTGCTCGATAAACAGCCATTACTGACTCTCATGAAAAGCAGCAACCAGGATTAGAATCATCACAGAACTGTAAGGAAACTTGAGGATATCTGCAAAATCGAGGCTTCCAGAGTCTCCTGTTTCTCTATAGGACACCGCAGCTCTGAATCGTTCTGGCGGCAGTTGCAGCTGCGTCTTGTTTTTTGCCCAGCTGACTGCCGCCTGCTTAAGTCTCTGCAACTCCCATCATCACAATGTGTACCTCTCCCCACAGAGCGCGACGCCGCCGGCCGGCCCTGTGTCCTGCCGGCGGGACAAGCGCTCTCGCATGGTTCGAGAGCCGGAGCTGGGTGTGTGCAGGCGTATCTGCCCGAACCCTTGCTGCCCATTCACGATGGGAGAGTGACACGGTCACTACCACGTGGAAACCGGAAGCGTGAGGCAGATTAGTAACTGCCCCAACAGCCACTGACTTAGAGAATAACCGAACTAGGTACGGAGCACGGATACAGACACCGCCACCCCCCAAACCCCCTCGCAACTTCTATTCCAAAAAAATGATTATCTTGAAATTGTACACTGAAGAGGGGTCTACAATTCCACAACAGTTGAAGACCTCCAACTTTTCAGGTTTAAACTTAACACAGGTTAATACCATTACATGCCATGAGAAAAAAATACCAACATCTTAAAAATACTATGTCAAATGGTATGACTTAGAACTAACATTGAATTCTACACTTAATTATTTTCATAGGTATGTAGGAAATTAAGCCAAGAAAAGAACTTACGTTGTAATGCTAACATTTGAGGAAGGAATCACTAAAACCCGACTCGGTGCAATAAGCACTGATGTGTCACACGTCACCACGCGAAGGCCGAGCAGGAACTTCCCTGGGGTAGCTCCACCTGCTCCCCAAATGCAAATTATCTAAGGAAAGAAGGAGAGTTTAAAGATTATATATTTGACAGAGGGAGAAGTCAGAAGTAGGCAGGGAGGCAGGCGGGGGGCGGGGGGTGGTAGCAGGCTCCCTGCTGAGCAGAGAGCCCGATGCGGGGCTCGATCCCAAGACCCTGGGATCATGACCTGAGCCGAAGGCAGAGGCTTTAACCCACTGAGCCACCCAGGCGCCCCAACTCTACCAATTTTAAAGATAAGTTTTTTTGCCATGTTATTCATGTTTTAAAATTTTAAGCTGAAAGAATCTTAGAATATTGGGAGGTCAACGCTGTAAGGCTTCTCGGCAAGTCTTATACCCTCAGTACCACAAGAGGTCTACTGTAAGATTTCTCTGTGACCCATTTTCTTTTTTTTTTAGCAATTTGTTTCTATGGAAAAATACATTTCAAGTTCCACAACCAACTTACAAGTATATTTTTGGACCCCAAGACTCAAATATGTTATAAAGAAATTGTCTCCACTCAAAGTTCTTCTTTTTAACTTGAAGAATACTACGTTAAAGAACATGTGGAAAAAATTAAAAAAGAGGTATTTGACAGAAACATGAATAACTATAAATTTCCATTACTTTTTATTTTGGGCTGATCATCTAAAATTAGATTGTTAAAAAATAAATAAAATAACTTGTTAAATGTGAATATTTGCTGAGTCAGTAGCTTACCTCATAGAAACAAACTAACAATCTGTATATAAGAGCCACAATCATCATTTTCTGCAAGTCTTCCATTGATGTGTCTTCATCTATTTCTTCTATTATATAATGCATAGCAAACTTAGAGATATCCCTACACAAAACAATAGTTTGGGGTTATAAAGAATTAGTTACCAGAGCAATTTGCATTGGTATTTTTTCCATCAGTGTCACAAACTTCAACTGAAATTCTAAATTAATCTTTAGGTTTCCACACATTTTAGTTTCACAAAACATTCATTAGCTTGTTCAACAAACAAGCAGCACTATTGTGGGCAGGCACTGTACTAGCCTCGGGGACTCAACCTGATCTCTGCTTTCTCGGAGACTCTTACCTACCAGACAATGCACAACAACAACAAAGCACCAATGAAGTGGGATGGGGGTGATGACGGAGAACCACAGGGTAGTAGGGAGACATGTACCAGGTACATTTCACTTAGGGAGTGAAGGCTTCCCAGAAAGGACGTTTGAGCTGAGATCGTGTGTAGGAAGAGAAGTTAGCCAGACGAAGAAGGGGGCCGGGGGAGTTTCAGGAGGGAGAGACTAGCGAGAGCGCGCGCCTTGGAACAACAAGGCTGTGATGGAGGCTGTAAGCAGGATGGCGTGGCTCAAATATTAAGTATAGCAGGTCACAGCAATTAAGAAATAAGAGCATCTGTTAAATGATAGGAAGACAAGCCTTTATCCTAATGGCAGCAAGAAATCACTGAAGAGTTTTAAGGTGGGAGGGGCAGAATCAGAATTTACGATCTCTTCGGTTTTATTATCAGAGACTGGACTGAGATAGAGCAGGAGATGGCAGACGGAGATACCAGTCAGGAGAATCTTGCTATGATCCAGATGAGAGATGACAATCACTGGACTGAGGAGAAGCAGTGACAATGAAACAGTACAGGGACAGTGGTCTGAGCCGGAGGCTACTGAATGGGAGCCTGAAAAGAAAGGAGCTGGTACCTGGTTGGCTGTGTGGGAGGTGGGAGAGAAAGAGTCGCGGAATCAAAGTAACACTCAGGTTCCTGGCAAGGGCCCTGAAATTTCACCAAAGGGTTTGTATCTTGACACATTTACTACCTTTGTATTTATAAGTTCTGGGCTTAACTTCTGGAAGTAAACCCAAACTTCAGTCTACAAAAAAGAAGTATGAACCTCTACATCTCATGCTGGTGGTACAATTGAAGAGTTCATATGAAATGAGCTCAGCGCTTAGCATATATAGAAAGGGCTTAGCAAGTGGTCACTGGTATGTTAATTATTCATGTGAAAGGATCATTCAAATAAACCGCTCACTTTGCAGTTCTCTTGGGACTTGCCTCGATGTATAAGCTCTCCCATTTGGAAAAGCCTGATTATCAACACTTCATCTACCCAAAGCTCTTTATGTTTCTGTTTTTACTCTGAATGGGATAGTAAAAGGGAAATTAATGCCTAGTCTAATAAAATGGTTGAATAAAAAAAAAATCAAATGTTTACCTACTTTTGATAGGTGAGATTCCCACAGATCTTTCAGAACTCATTAAGTGTTTTTTTCTCTTTTTGTACTTATTTCTTAAAACCAAGAAAACAAATATGACCAAGCTCCTTGGAGGAGCTCCCAGTAGGAGAAATCATGACACTGGCGCACTGTCTATACAGTCACTTGTGGCCATGACCAGAACTTCAGAAAACAAGACTTCTATGCAGTAGACATTAAAACCTTTCTGCAAATAACCTTAACTTACTTTATTCCACTGAGGTGCATAATGCTTAAGACAATGGTTGCTTTTATAAAGAAGAGAATAAAGAAATCCACCATCTCTGCCATAAATCTGTGGGCCAAGGATGGAATAACATACTCTCGGCCTGTAAATTAAAAAAAAAAAAAAAAAGGAGAACGAATTATTTCACATAGGCCTCAAAACCCAAGCTAGGTAATAAATGGAGAACCCAAAGTCAAGGTATAACCAGCTAATAAAAAAGTTAAAACCCGGCAACAGTTAATGGTATTGACTCCATCAGTACCACAAGCTATTTATTCCACTATTTACCGAACAGCTTAAAGTTTGCTTTCACCACCTTACGGTTTAAAAAATGATTTCACAGATACTAAATTATTTAAGGCACTCAATACATTTCACCGGGACTCAAAAGCATACCCTGGTGATCACCAAGCCTGTGACACAAAATTAAACTTTTTAGTAAGAACCCAGGTTAAGTATAGACAATTACAAAGTAAATACCTGTGTTCCACATTCTACCCCCTCTTCATTTAGTTTGTCTTGCTTTTCTGTGTAATAAATCCAATGATTATCAATCTGACATCTTAAGTTCTGAATGGGATCAAATTCAGGAAAACTAGATCTTGTCTCATATATATGGCTGAACAAAGTAAACAGAATGCCTAACAAACTAAAAAGCGTAACTAGTATTCTAATTCCCATACAGAAGTAAACAGACAATATTACAAAGAACATCAGTTAGGGCTCAAAGGTTCATAACTCCGTCTGCATTCATGTAAATCTCCTTTCATATCCGTCGGTTTCATTAATTCCCCTATCAATGATACCGATACTACTATATATCATCATAGACCGCGTCATACCTAATAAATCCACGTCTGGATTCTTCCCAGCACTACCCGCACCCCCCGACCCCGACCCTGCCCTCAAAGTGGGTTTGCCACCCGAGAATGAAGCTCTGAGCTCGGTCTCCACAGCACAGAGATCAAGAGGCTAGTCTCCTGAGCAAAGATTTCCTTACACGTGGAGACTAGTCCCAGGAATAAGGGAATCAGGTCGGAGGACCAGGTCTAAAGGAAAAAGAAACCGTACAGCCTCGCCGCACACTTCAGGAACTTACAGCCTGGGCGAACGACAGCTGAAGAACGCAGAGAAATACCAACCCGAGCAGCAGCAGCAGCCCTTACAGAGGTCGAAAGCGTGGCCGCTCTACCCCCACCCCCACCCCACCCCCGGAGAGCTCCCCTAAGACCCTTTCGCTCCGCCCCGCCCCGCCTCTCCGTAGCGCTTCTCACCTGCCTGCCGCCCGGTCTCGCTCGGGGTTCGCGAAGGGGCGCCGGATCCCACTCTGGTCACTGGGGCTGTCCGGACGGGTCCCTGCCCGTGCGGAGCCCGGGCTCCTAGGCCCGCGACCGGAGCAGCTGGGGTGATGCCGGTAGCCGCTCTCGGGTCAGGCCCGGCGGCTGCGGCGCTCAGGAAGTAGAAGGGGTTGTAATAGCCCAGCTGGAGGGGCGGCAGCGCCGCGGCCTGGGGGGGCGGCGGCGCCACCGCCCGAGGGGTAGCTCGGCGGGGGCGGCTGGGGGCTGCAGTAGGCGGGGAAGGCGGCCAGGCCGCTGTGCCAGGTGAGGTAGCCGCAGTAGGACTGCCACAGCCACTCGTGCACCTGCCGGGAATACTCGCGGGCGCTCAGCCGCGCCGGCCTCTCTCGGGGCGCGGCGGCCTCGGGCGCCTCGCGGCCGGCCGGCTCCTGCAGCCCCGCACGAGGGCCCGGGGCCGCCTCCCCGCACTTCCCGGGCTCGCGCAGCGGCTCCGACTCCTCAGTGGTGCCCGCGGCGGGCGCGAGGCCCGGGGCTGGGGGCCTGCCCGGGGCCTGGGGTTCGGCTTGCGGCCCGTCCGGGGGCCGTGGGGCGGCGGCGGCAGGAGAGCCTCTCAGGGAAGGGACGGGCTCGGGGTCTCCTCCGCCGTCGTCCTGCCCAGGAGGGCGGCCTCGGGCTTCCTCCGGCCCCTCTGCCATCGTCGCCTCAGCAGCACCCTCGTCGGTCCTGTCACTGCGCCGTCTCCCTCCCCCACTAGCCCCTCCCCAACGGCCGGGTCGCCACCGCAGCAGCCGCAGGCGTCAACAATCCGCCACCGGAAGCGGAAACCCCGCCTCTCCCCGGCGTCGCAGGCCGCTGGGCGGAGCCGGGGAGGGCGGGCGTGGAGGAGGGGCTGCGTGCGGCGGCGCGGGCGTCCGGCGTCGGGCGTCTCCGCTGACAGGAGCTATTGGCTCGTCGGTTGTTCGGACCAGGTTGCCCGCTCTTTCGCTACCTCTCACGGCCTTAATGAAGTCTAAGGCCCGTGGCTTCCCCACATCATCCCCTGGGAGGTGGACTCAGGCTGTCCCAGGAGAAATTGCGGAGGGAGGAGGAGGATTTCCGAGGGAGGTCGGGGGTCCCAGGTTTCTGTGACCGAGCCGCGACTGTTCGGGTCTCCAGGCACAGGGCTTGTTGCTTACTTCCGCCTGCGTTCTTTCCAGTGAATCAGCCTTGGCCGTGTGTACTCAAGACAGTGACGCAAGACCTGTCCCCGTAAGGGGTTAAGAAATTAATAACCAAACTACAGTATGGCTCGGCTGCAGGGATTTTCAGTGCAAAGGAAGGGAAGTGGGATTGTAGGGATTATGTTGATTTAAGATCGAAACTCGTCCTTATGCCGGAGCTAACCTGTGTCGCTAAAATCTTACTTTCCATTGCTGTAGACTAGCAAAACTGCCTTTCCTCAAGCCATCTTCTCGGCCTTTAGTGTATATATTCCTTTATACTCTGTTACGGCAAGACCCGTTCGTATCCCAGGGCTTTGGAGCCTTCTCTGAATACTCGGGCCCAGGCATGATTTCCCCTTCCTCTGAACTGTATATAGCACCTTATATATTTATATTTTAATATACTTCCAAGTGTCATAAAGTTGATTAAGTGATAGGAGTATGTTTTTGTATCGCGGTACCATTCTGAAGACCTTCAGGGACTAAGTACCTCCCAGGGGATGATGTGGGGAAATGTGGTTACACTTGTTGCTAGTGATGTCCAGAATCATTCTTGACTGCCTTGGGAACTAGAATAGTACAAGGTTTGACTTTTGCCCTTAAAAGGTTCAGTAGCTCATATGATTAAAGGGAAGGACCTTTCATGAAACACTCGAAGACCTATTTCAGACAGTATAAGTATAATAAGAATCCAAAATAAGGGAAGGATCATGGTAGTCTATAGATAGCAAGGTTACTCTTAACATGTTTGGTTTTAAGAATTGTGAGGAAGTTGTAGCATTTAAGCAAATAAGCATTCCAAGTCTGGAGGCTTCTGGGACTGGGGAGGGCAGGAGAAGCAGGAAGAAATGACGATGATATGGAAGGAGTGTGAAATATCGCAGTTATTAGAGGCATGGACTTTGTTTTCAATATTGTTTAGCACGTGGCACAGTGCCACCTGCAGAGTAGACATTCATAGTAATCAGGACTCTTGTTTGCAACTGACTTGTAACTGATTTAACAGAGAAAAACTAAGTGAATTCATGACTTGCACAACTAAAAAGTTCAGGAGTGGTTCAGGTTTCAAGGGTATCTGGTTACAGGTGATTACTTCAGGAATCACCTATTTATTGGTTTATTTTCTGACTTGCCTTTTGAGTAAAGTAAGAGTGTTTCTGTTTCAGTGATTAAAAAAAAAAAAAACAAAAACCAGAATTCTAACTAGCTTGAATGAAAGAAATTTTTGGCCTATGTAAATCAACAAGTTTGGGGTTCTACATAATATGAGAACATTCAACAGGACATCTAATAGGCATCCCAAAAGAGAGAAGAAAGGCAAAATTCAAAGCAATAATAGCCCCCAATTTTCTAGAATTGAAGAAAGATTATGTTTTAGATTGAAAGATCAAGTCTTAAGAAAATAACACATACATCATGATGAATTTAAGCAAAGAGAAAAGTTTAACAATCTTAATAGTAATCAAAACATAAACTACTGACAAAAATGACATTTAGACTGGAAGCCAAGTTTTCAAAAGTAAAAATAGGTGCTGAAGAGAGTAGAATGAATATAGGTAGTACTGAGGAGAAATTACTGACAACCTAGAATGTTAGAACCAGGTAAACAATACTCAAGAATGGAGATGTGATGTAAGGCACTGTGCCAATCCAAATAACATACTGGTCAACCCTATCCCCTTTCCATGTCATTCAGCTAAGGATTGAAATCCCAGGGATGTAGAAAGAGAAATATTTATGACTCAAAAATATAAATGGATTCTGGAAAGCCGGTAGTACATGAGTTTTGAATCTCCATAGACCCCTACAGAGAAACAGACTAGGTAGTGAAACCAAAAATGCATGAAACGTTTACAGCAAAACTAACAGATAACACCACAAGCCCCAAAATGTAAGAGGATGAGGTCAGACCACACATGCAAAACATGCACAGCGGTCAGTGCCAAAAAAATCAGATCAAAATTGTACAGATGTTAAAATGATAAAAGAAATAAAAAGCAAAATAAATCAGAGTAAGAAGAACTCAGAAATGAAGTAATAGAACTCAGGAAAGAGGGGCGCCTGGGTGGCTTAGTGGGTTAAGCCGCTGCCTTCGGCTCAGGTCATGATCTCAGGGTCCTGGGATCGAGTCCTGAGTTGGGCTCTCTGCTCAGCAGGGAGCCTGCTTCCCTCTCTCTCTCTCTCTCTCTCTGCCTGCCTCTCCGTCTACTTGTGATCTCTCTCTGTCTTATAAATAAAATCTTAAAAAGAAAAAAGAACTCAGGAAAGAATTAGAAATTTGAAAGGAGAAGAGATCTGAAAAGAGTACCAAACTAGGAGGAACACAGGAGTAAACAAACACAACAGATAGTGTCCAAAGAGAACTAGAATTTGAAAATGAGATTTTTTTTTTAAGTCCAAAAGAAGTTTAGAGAAAGAAATGATGGACACTGAAGATTGGCAAAGAGGATCTAGTGTATGGATAAAGAAGCCCCCACCACCCCCATAAAGAACACCAGAGCCAGTTAACAGAACAAATACAACACGTGGTAATTTAAGAGAACTTTACCTGAAATATAAATATATTTTTGTATTTATATATATATTCACACATGCCCCGTAATATATATTCATATGTATATTCACATATCTTTTTAAAACCTCATACTGAAAAAGCATACTATGAACACAATGAATAGCAAGGTGTATTCTAGTAAAAATGACCGCACCTCACATTTTGGTCATTTGGGGCAACATTATTTTTTTAAAGATTTTATTTATTTATTTGACAGAGAATGAGCAGGGGGGGCGGCAGGCAGAGGGAGAGGAAGAACAGTGGGATTCCATTCCCCAAAGTGGGATTCCATCGCAGGACCCTGGGATCATGACCTGAGCCGGAGGCAGAGGCTTAACCGATTGAGCTACCCAGGCGCCTCTAAGGCCAACATTTAGCAGAGAAAGAGAAAGAAAACTGGATCATCATAGGACTTCAACATTACCACTTCACACGAGGAGAAAATGGTAAAGCATTTAAAATATTCAAAGAAAGAAAACAAGAACCGAGGACTTTATATTCGACAAAACTGACTTTCAAGTATAAAAACAGGCAATAAAAACAGACAATGACAGAAGGACAGTGATGAGCATTAAATCTTTAATTACGTGTAGCTCTAAGACTAAATGAGGGTGCGTCTCAGTCAGGGTGCATTCAAGTGACAGAGACCGCAGAGTAATCGGGATGGAGAACGTTTGCTATAAAGCATTATTAATGGAATTGGAGTGAAGGGAAGTTGGAGGGTAAGAAGCAGAGAGAAGTCCTATCACGTAGGAGCAGTAGATCTGGGGAGCGGCCACCACTCCCAGCACTGAAACTGAATGCCCAAGGAAGGGCTCCGCACCCCCGCCCTGGGGCTGCGGTCTGGACCTTGTTGGGGAAGGCATGACTGGGGCTCACTGCTGGACACAAGCTCACAGAAGTGTGGCCTCAGTGGGACTTGTTAGAAATCCTCTCTCTGGACCGTGGGAGGAAGCTGTCCACAGGGTGGCTTATCTCAGGCGCCCTGTCTCAGAATCCACCACGAAGTATCCAGAGAAACCACTTACAGGAAGGCGCCTGGCCAGCAGCTTGCCACTCTGAAGCCATCCAAGAGAGGGGTGGCCTGGGCAGCTGCTGCGTGTCGGCCACGCGGCAGTACTGGAAGGAACCCTGTCTTCAGTGGGAGCCCAAGGAGGTAAGCGCATGAAAACCGCAAGGGGAAGCCTCTTCCTCCCCCGTGGCTCTCCAGTGCCCTCTACTAACCGAACCTAACATCTGACCAACTGGCATGGAAGGAGTATTTACAGAGTTCAGCCCCATTATTGCAGAGCAAGTGAAGATCTGGAGCCCAGAGTCCATAAACAGACGTCTAATACAGGGTTAAGAGAGAGTGTCACCTGAGATGGATATATATTCTGAAATATTGATACGAAATTTCTATAAAACCGGAGGGGAGTATGGGAAGAACATAGGCAAAAACTTTTAGACTTTTCAGTACAATGATGGTGGTAATTTTTTATTTTGAGAATGTGTGTGTAATGTTACATAAAATGAGTAATTATCATTAGTCTGAACTCTTATCTGTCTCTTGTCTGATTTTCTGGTTCTTTTCAGGAAGCCATTGTCCGTATCACCTGCACTGTGGTCTTCAAACGCCGTGTTTCGCTAAAAGAAACGGGCTTATTGGAGGGTTGGATGACTCTGTATCTGGGGCAGAAAATGCATAGAATGAACGTGTTATGTCTTGTTATACCAGAGCGCAGAGGAACTATTAAAGCCTTCTAGGGTCATGTCCAGCAGACCCAGAAGCCAACTTCAAGAGGTTCCCTTTGGCCAAAGATGGGATAATTTGAGTTTCACTAAAGGTAATCATTAGAATGAACGGTAACACATTACATATGTCTAAATACAGAAACTAAATACAAATACAGAAACTAAACTGGAATCTGATCAAGTGTCAGGATCTAACGGCCGATTT